TTTCAGAATCCGGCTTGTTCACATGGTTGTCCTTCATCTAGTGTTCTGCTAATTCTATTCAGGATGACTCGAGTGAACAGTTTGTAGACGACAGACAATAGGCAGATTGGGCAATAGTTGCCAATGTCGTGGATGTCTCCCTTCTTGTATAGTAGTACAGTCCTGCTGGTTTTCCATTGGGATGGAAACTTGCATTCAGACAGGTAGCGTGTGAAGAGCCGAGCCAGTGTATTGATGAGTACTGATGGTAAGTTCTTCAGGTGTTCAGGTCTGATCTTGTCTGGGCCAGGTGCTCTTGTTTCTTTACCGACGAGATGGTATATGCAATTGAAGTATAATTGCAATTATTTACATATCTTGGATTGACAATCATTATTCACCCCTGTGTCTCTGTCACTGTCACTGTCCTCCCTTTGTTCATCGATTTGCTCGAGCGGGCCCAGTAACGTCTCCATTTTGAGACTTGTTACTGTGCGTGGCATATTGCTTTGCTGTGTGGGTGAGATACTCTAGGTAGCTTGCCGGGCTTTCTGAGGGGGCGGAGGAATCGAACTTTGGTCAGCCATGTTGGCTGCTTGCAAGGCAAACGCCCTACCCGCTGTGCTATCGTTCCAGCCTGTGTGTATGTACTTTACATAAATATGTCTCCCAACTTCATGGGTTTTCTAGTTTCTGAAGAGTGTCCTGTAATTATAATCAATATTTCTCTCTACAGTGTATCATTTTCTCTTGCTGCTTTCATAAATTTTCTGTTGCTTAAAATTAGTCTCCATTGAATTAGTATAATTATTTTAAAAAAGACCTTTTAACTGTGTTCTAGTAGTTCAATTATTCTTTAGTATTATGTGATGTGTCAGCGTTAACGCACATGTGTGTGTTTAGTATTTGCTCTAATGAGAGATTCACCTGGGTTCTTGTGTCTGTAGTTGGTTGCCTTTTGTTATTTCTGCTGATGTTTCCTTTTTCTTCTCTGGGGACTCTGATTTCATGTTTTAAACCAGTGTAGCTTTTGGATACTTTGTTATCTTCCTCTACTTTTTTTCCCTCACTTTTTTGTTTTAATTTCCTTAGTTCTTTTGAGTCTTATTCATGAGATCTTCACAGAAAATATCCTCCTCTGATGGCATGTCTTTTTTGTAGCCAGCATTTTCCTTTGACTTGCTTACATTCAGGACTTTTGCACCTTATTTGCTCTTGTGTAATGTGCACCATTTTCTATACATTCATTTTGTTCCTAGTTGTACTACTGTTAAGTATAGGTCTGCTAATCTCATAAGCGTCTCAGAGTGTAATTACATTGATCATTTTACTTCTGACAATGGAGTTGTTAATCCTCTGTGATGCAGGGCTTCCAGTGAGATTGGGGGGCATCCCTGCCAGTCCCATGATCTTGAATGGTATTTTCTTTTTTGTGAAACTTATTGTGTCAGGGATGAAGTTGCCATCAAGTTGGGCATTCGCAAAGATTTGGAGTCTGGTTGCTGTGACCTTTAGTCACTCAGCCTTCAGATTCCACACAGACAGGAGTAGATGCTCGCCATGCATACAGCTGACCTATGTCTGATCCCCAGCACCCCATATGGCTTCCCAGGAGAGATTCCTGAATGCAGAGCGAGGAGTGAGCCCTGAGCACCGCCGGGTGTGGCCCCCAAACAAAACAAAACATAACAAAACAAAACAAGACAAGACAAATCACAATGCAATAGATTCTACTTGGCATGGAGACCAGGGGGCCCCATTCTGTTTGTTTCTGTTATTTTCCTTTAGACTTGTGGCTGTTCCCTCAGCCTCTCCCATGTCAGTGGTTGCTACCCACTCCCTAATGTCAGGCTACTGTTTTTTGCTTCCTCTTTTTCTGGGGTGTTGGGGTGCTCCTAAAGCTGGGTTCAGGAGTCCCAGGGAATTCTTGGCCAGCTGGGCTGGGCCTGTGGTTCAATGCATGGGCTGGAGGATGTGGTGCTGCCCAGGCCCTGCAGTGTCCGGGATTACTTGGGCCACCCTAGTTGTGCTGGGAGGCCTCCAGAGCTGCACCCTACAATTCTCAAGGGATCATGCAGTACCAGGGATCAAACCAGTATCGGCCGGATGCAAGGCAAGTGCTTTAACTCCTGCTTCTCTCTTCGTCTGTAGTGATTATTTCTCAACACTCTGCTTGTGTGTGTTGGTTGGGAGTGGGTGAGGGTGCGGGGGGTGGTGGTGGTGGTGGTGGCGGTAGGTGTGTTCTCTGCTGTGGACAGGTCTGTCCACATGGACCCAGTACTTGAGCTTGCCGGGCCCTCCTTCCCATGGAAGTCAGTGAACCTTGTGGCTCTTGTCTGGGGGCAGGAGTTTCTCCCTCCCCTGCTGCTCTGTGCTCAGAATTCTGGCTTAGAGATGTGTTTCCTTCTCCATTCACAGGCACTCATTTTCCCTTTGGCCTTTCTCCAGCTGCAGCCGTTGTCTGCTTTGCTCCTGGAGCCTCTGGGTCTCAGTAACTACTAGTCTCTCCTCCCCCATTACACCTGTTAATGGTCCACTTCCCAAGCTGCTTGTTCTTGTGCCTCTTACCCCATTCCACTCCACCTCCCCTAGTCTCCTCCAGAACCCCCAGCCAAGGGCTTGCAGATGACGAGTAGAAAAGTGCTTACGTGGGGATGTGAACTTCCCATGAGTCTGCCCCAGGCTCATTTCAGCTGCCATGTCTCCTGTATCCAGCCTTTTACAGTCTGGTCACGTTTTCTCTCCTGTCCTCCCACTGGCCTATGGTCTGGCCACCTCTTTCCTTTGTTCTGCCAAAGGTGAAAGAGAAGGTCCCATTTTTCTTGGGAGGAGCTTGTTCCTTGGATTTCAGATTGTTTGCTTTGTAATCTCAACTCTGATACTGGCATAACATTTATTGTATTGTAAACTATTTAACTTTATTTTTTTATTTTTTATTTTTTTGCTTTTTGGGTCACACCCAGTGATACTCAGGGGTTACTGCTGGCTCTGCACTCAGGAATTACTCCTGGTGGTGCTTGGAGGGACCATATGGGATGCCGGGGATCAAACCCAGGTCGGCCACGTGCAAGGCAAACGCTTTGGCCGTGTTAACTTTAAAAAGTATTTTTGACCACACCAGTGATAGGGCTTACTCCTTACTCTAAGCTCAGGGATCACTCCTTGTGGGATTGGGGGATCATGTGGAGTCCTGGAGATCAAACCCACATTGGCTGAAGTGTGAAGCAAGCGCCCTATCTGTTGTATTGTCTCTTGAGCCTGAAGTTTTAAAAAATTTTATTTTTTGGGCCACAAACAGTGGTGGCCTGAGTTACTTTTAGGTTAGTGCTCTGGGGTTACTCCAGTGATGTTCAAGACCATACAACGCTGGGTATCAGTCCTGGGCTTCCTGCATGCCCCACCCCTTTGCTCTGTCTGTCTAGCCTCACTTTGATTCTTTTCTTTTCTTTTCTTTTCTTTCTTTTTATTTTAATTAGTGAAACACCAGGAGGTACGGTTGTAGACTTACAAACTTTTGTGCTTGGGTTTCAGTTATACAATGATCGAGTACCCATCCCTCCACCAGTGCCCATTCTCCACCACCAATGATCCCAGTAGCCCTACCCCCCAGTCCCCCCACTCCACCCTGCCTTTGTGGCAGGGTATTCCCTTTTGTTCTCTCTACTTTGGTTATTTTCAAAGGCAGGAATGACATTATGTGTAGCTTTGTAATTATAAGCAGAATGAATTGCAGTTTTAAAGCATATCAGGTTCCTCAGAAAGATAGTAAAGTGAAAAAAATCTTATCCTTATTTTTTTAAACTAAAGAGTACCCTTTTGCTTTGTTTATTTTTTGTTTCTGGGCCACACCTGGTGATGCTCAGCAGTTATTCCTGGCTCTGCTTTCAAGAATCATGACTGATGGTGCTATGATGCTTGAGGAGCATATGGGATGTCAGGGATTGAAGCAGGGTCTGCATTGTGCAATGTAAACACTCTCATCGTTGTACTCTCTCCAGCTCCATTGTTTCATTCTTATTGTCCTTTTATTTTTCAAGTAAAATTTGGCCTTGTTTTTATTTGTACTGTCTTACTCCATAGGCTTGTAATGGTTCAACATTTTATAGCGAACAGTTTCTTCCTTGAGCAGATTTAAATATTCAGGAGAGCACGCATCAGCGTCCTTCCTTCTGCCTCTTGTCTTTGGGACCGTCCAGCGGGTAGGGCCAAGTAAAACTGGTGTATTGTACTGTGGTAAAAGGAGAAGGCCTCTATCACCTTTGACCCCAGTGGTTAGAGAGGAGGACAGAGGAGGAAAGAAATCAAGAAGAGAACAGGAAGAATGGGTGAACAGGCATCAGGGCTTTAGTTATTCGGTGATATGGGAGAGTGGTACAGCTATATACCCAAAACACACACTCACCAACACTAAAAACGTGAGATCTAAGCTGCAACCACTGGAACTTTGTAATATGACTTTCAAGTTAGCAGACAGGAATGGGGCAGGGGTTGGGGTGGGGATGGAATCTGGGAACACTGTTGGAGGAAAGTTGACACTGGTGGTGGGATTGGTGTTGATGTATTCTATGTCTAAAACTCAACTACCAATGACTTTGTAAATTTTTAATGAAATATAAAAATATATATAATATAAAAATATAATAAAATTGGTGATCTTCATCCCAAGTGGAATGCAGATCAGCCCCCTTCTAACTGAAGTATGAGCTATTAATAAGTAATTGTGTTACTGACGTCATTGCATACATCTTGCAAGTGGTAGGCATGTTTTTATAAATGCAAAGACTAGAAATATACATTGAATCAACAGATCTTTAAGTGAAGTTCTCAGGTGGCAGACTGGTTGCTACACTTTTATGACATGAGGTGTCTTCCACGAAGCTCTGACATACCCCAAAGCTGCCCGTTTTATTCTTCCCCTACCCTTTGGATGGGGTGATCTCAGGTTGGGTGTGAAGTGTGCTGGCTTATAATTTTGAGACCCTCCAGAAGCTGAGTCTTTCCCCCACCTGTTTTCTCTGCAGAAAGCTTCATCAGCAGTTCGAGATGTACAAGGAGCAGGTAAAGAAGATGGGGGAGGAGTCGCAGCAGCAGCAAGAGCAGAAGGGCGACGCCCCCACCTGCGGAATCTGCCACAAGACCAAGTTTGCTGACGGGTGCGGCCACAACTGTTCCTACTGCCAAACCAAGTTCTGTGCGCGGTGCGGAGGCCGCGTGTCCCTGCGCTCCAACAAGGTACAGACAGGGCACACTCAGCCACCATGGGCACTTGCAGCCAGGCGGGGGATGGAAACAGAGCAGGCAACGAAAATTCAGTCAGATCGACCGGCCCCAAACGCTTCTCTACCGTCTTCACTTTAGAGAGAAGAAATGTTACATTTTTGTCTGAATTTTAGAGCTGGCTTTCCTTGTTTTGGTCTTTGAGGGGCTTGTTTTTATCTTATTTTATTTTTATTTCTTTAGAGAATCTGAGGCTTTCAGAATTGATAAGGAGAATTTAGGGGTTAGCTGTATGGACAGATCTTTAAATGCAAGTCGTTTCAAGCTGCAGGAACCTCGCATGCATACAGAGTTCATGTTTCAAGTCACACCAGATAAGGCTTGTGATACAGCTTTTGCCTCACTTCCATAGAATTTGATGAACTTTGTAGATTTGCTTTTATCTGGGTCCCCTCAACCTCAGTGTTTCTCATTTTAAAGAGGTTCTTTCCAGCTTTGAGATTTTGTGCTTCATAATTTTCAATTTTTGGGAACTCCATACCCTTTAGCTTTGTTTTTAACAATAAATAAGCACTAGACTCTGAGATTTAAGGACACAATATTAAGCTGATACTTATGCTACATTTTAAATGTATTATTCATCCATTTTAGGGAATAGGTTAATGCTGCCCAATGAATGATTTGCTGAAATGAGCAGAAGCAGTATTTATAGTGAAACGTTTTCTCTGTAAGTTTTTTTTTAGTGTAGGATGCTGATATCCTTTTAAACATAATTTAGGTAGTATTTATGAAAAATTGTTCCTATGTGATTTCATTTCTTCATTTTCTCAGGCTACCTTTTTCTCATTATTCTGTTTGGCCTAGATTAATAGATTTTCTTTATCCTCCTCTTTCTTCCAGGCTTACCTGATTATTTCCTTTTCTTTGAGTAGTTCCATTGACAAGGATCTCTTACAATTCTGAACAGAAATGGTAGGAGCAGGCATTCCATTTTAACCATGGATGCAACATTCAGTCTTTCACTGTAGCCTTTATATTTAAAATTATATTTACTTTATAATGGTTTGAGGAGCTTTGGTCAACATCCAAGTGATGCTCAGTGCTTTCTCCTAGTTCTGTGCTCAGGGATCACTCCTGGCAGAGCTTGGGAAACCATATGTGGTACCAGGGCTGACTGCATGCATAGCAAGCACCTCACCTCCTGTACTGTTTCTATGGCCCTCACTATAGTTTTTCATAAGTGACATATATTCTTAACTTAATGAGTTTATTAGTTTTATTTTCCTGTTCCCCTTTCCTTTGTTTCTCTTGCTGTGCTATTGCCATGCCCGGGGATTGCTCATACTTGATCGTGGCTATGGTACTCATGCAGACACTGCCGTGTTTGCCAGGGTGATGCTTGCAAACACTTGTTTGTGCACTGTGGGTCACATGCTCTTGCAGTGCTCAGGGGTCCAGATAGTCGAGTTGCTGTCTCTGATCTCAGCACATATGGTCAGCACTGGCATCAGATTCAGAGTCTCACATTTCAGCCTGGTTCCTTTAACCATTGAACCACCCCCAGTCTATTTGTTTTGTTTTAATACGAGGAATAGAGATTGGATTTTGCTAAATGTTTTTTCCCCCTCTATTGAAATTTATTTATTTTTTTTAGTTTAAAAACAGGTTTATTAAACCAACTCTATATTTTATTGAAGTAACATTGGTTTATAACATTACATGGTGGTAATTCAGGTTATAAATAAATCAACATCTGTATAGATCACATTATGCTTGCCACCAGAACTCTAGTTTCCATTTTGTACTATACAGTTGACTTCTTTTATTCAATTTGCCTACCCACCTTCTCCTCCCTCTTGTTCTAACAAGATTTTGCTTTTTTATAGTCTGAGTGGTTTTGTTTCTTTATCTACCACATATGAGTGAAACCATAGATATTGGTTTTTGATATTTTTCACTCACTGTGATACCTACCCACTAGGTCCATTCATCTTTTTACAAATGATGGGATTTCATCTTTTTGTTTCTATGCTCCATTATGCACATCTCTCTTCTTTATCCACTTATCCTTTGATAGGCACTTGGGTTGCTTCCAAGTCTTGGCTTTCATGAAAAGTATGTGAGCATGGGGCTGTGTAGATCACTTGGAATTAGTATTTTGTATTCTGGGGAAAGAGGCCCCCAACGTGAATAGCTGGATCATATGGTATTTCTGGTTTTTAAAAGGAATTTCCCTATTCTTTTCCGTACCACCCAGATTTACAGGGCTTCCCTTTCTTCTGCATCCTCTCTGTTGCTTCTTGTCTTTTTGATAACCATGCTGCAAAGGGTGACGTGGTAGCTCATCATTGTTTTGACTTGCATTTGCCTAATGATAAGAAATGCTGAACATCTTTTCACATGTCTGTGGGTCATCTGTTTATCTTCTTTGGAGAAGTGATTCTTCAGATCCTCTGTCCATTTTTAATCAGGTTGTTTGTTTTGTGTCGTTGAGTTTTATGAAGGTTCTGTACATTTTTTTTTGAGTCGCACCCAGCGATGGTCAGGGGTTACTCCTGGCTCTGCACTCAGGAATTACTCCTGGCGGTGCTTGGGGGACCATATGGGATGCCGGGGATTGAACTCAGGTCGGTTGCATGCAAGGCAAATGCCCTACCCACTGTACTATCATTCCAGCCCTTTCTATATATTTTTGATAATTCCATGTTTCACATAGGAATTTAAAATATCTTCTCTGAATAATCACCTTTTTAAAAAATAAAAATCATTCTGTTATTTGTTTTTACTGCAAAGAATTTGTTTTATTTCTTAATAGATTTTGTCTAAGGATGTATTTCATGATGAACATACAGTTTACTGTGTTTTCATGCTACTCAGATGATTTCTTTCTGCATGGTTATGTAGCCAAATACTAATTTTATTTAAAGTTTTTGAAGTTGCACTCTCTCCCTGTCCCCACCCCCCATCTTTTATACCTTATCCATTCTCTTGTTCTCATTCTTCTAGTACTGTCTTCTGAGTCCCCAGGTTTATTTCTACTTAGTCTGTTTCTGTGTTTTGCTTCTTTATATTCTACATAAGAGTGAGATCATCCAGTCTTGTATTTCTCCTTTTTTTCTCTTCATCCTCTGAGATTCCTTTCTTATTGTTGCAAATGAAAGCATGTCATCTTTTCTTATAGGTCAGAGCTAGTTCATTGTTTGGTAGACCTGTTTGTTGTTTAAGTTGTGGATATTAAAGCCCTTACCATCATTGTGTTGGCACCAATCTTCCTTTATATATTTTATATATTTCTTATACATTTTGGTGTTGTTTGGTTGAGTGCATTTGTATTAATACAGATTATGTCTTTTTGCTGTATTGATTCTTTTATTATTATGTAATGTCCATCTTTATCTCTTGTTACTTTTTTTTTTAAACTGGAAGTTTGTTTTACCTGACATAAGTGCAGTCTTTTGTGCTTTTTAAAGTTGGCAGACCAGAGAGATTGTATAGGACCTAAGGCTTGTGACTTGCATGTGGCTGACCCTGGATCAATCTGAAGCACCACTTGGTCTCCCAACCTTTGCCCCAACCACCATTGGATTTGGCTCCAACCCTGACCCAAATAAAGTTTATCAGTGACTTAGAATACCATTTTCTACCCCTTCCCTATAAGGATTTTCTCACTACCTTAAAGTGAGCCTCTTTTAGACAGTATATAGTTGGGTTTTGTTTTGTAATTTATTATGTTTTTAAATTCATAAATTCAACCCCTTTTCTTTTAGGGTGACTATTGATTTATGGTGTTTTTCTTGCTGCTGCCATTTGATTTTTTCTTTCTGGTTCTATTTATCACCTTGCTTAACTTTTTTGGGGGGGGGGACTCATACTCAGCAGTGCTCAGGGCTTACTCCTGACACTGCGCTCAGAGATTGCTACAGGCACGGGGCTGAAAGACCAAGTGGGATGCTGGGGTAGAAACTGGGTTGACCACATGCAATGAAAGTGCCCTATCCATTGGATTATCATTTATCCCCACCTTGTTTAACTTTTTGATGAACTTTTTTTTTCATTTAGGCTATAGAACACCATTTGGCGCTTCCTTTTTTTAAAAAAAGTATTTAGTTTTAAAATTTTTTTTAATTGAATCACCATGAGATACAGTTACAAAACTTTCATGTTTGAGTTTCAGTCATACAATGATCGGAAACCCATTCCTCCACCAGTGCATATTTTCCACCTCGAATGTCCCTAGTATCACTCCCCACCCCCACCCTACCTCTCCCCCTGCCTCTATGGCAGACATATTCTCTATTCTCTATTCTCTCTCTACTTATGGGTATTATGGTTTGCAATACAGATAATGAGAGGCCATCATATTTTGTCCTTTATCTACTTTCAGCACACATCTCCTATCCTGTGAGATCCCTCCAACCATCATTGACTTAGTGATCCCTTTTCTATCAAAGCTGCCTTCTCCCCCAGCTTGTGAGGCAGGCTTCCAACCTTGGAGCAATCTTCCTAGCCCTTGTCAGTAGGCTGTCCTTGGGTGTTCATCTTCTATTATGTTATTTTATATTCCATAAACGAATGTAGTCATTCTATGTCTGTTTCTCTCTTTCTGATTCATTTCACTTAGCATAATCCTCCCCGTGATCATCCATTTACAAGCAAATTTCATGACTTCATCTTTACTAACAGCTGCATAGTATTCCATTGTGTAGACATACCAAAGTTTTTTTTTTAACTAGTTGTCTGTTCTTTAGCACTCAGGTTGTTTCCAGATTCTAGCTGTTGTAAACAGTGCTGCAGTGAACATACAGGTGCAGATGTCATTTCTACTGTCATTCAGCACTTCTTGTAAGGAATGTCTAATGACGGTAGACTTATCCAACTTCTGTCTGGGAAAGTCTTTGTTTCTCCATCATGTTTGAGAGGAATGGTGTATTATGGGTTGGGAGTATTTTGTGGGATGCATATTCTTTGCTTCATTCTGTCAATATGTCGCTTCATTCTCTCTAGGCTTCTAGAAT